GGCCTACAAATAAAAATCACATTGGAACAATGCCATTTATCATATGGGATGATTCTGTGTGTTTAATCATTAATGTTAGTTTCCAAATGTGTTAATGTACAGTTTCTCATTTGATTAGTTCAGTCAGGTGATGAAATAGGTCAGAAAGGTATCATGTTCATTTTCCTGATGAAACATGGTGGTTAGCCTCTTGAACAATTTAAATTTGATCATCTTACTTGGTATGCTAGCCTCTAAGGATGAAGTCCTGCCATTGAGAAAGAAAACCCAGTCAGGAAAGCTTTCTCACCTTCATCTATCTAGCAAATTATACATATTCTCCAAGTTCTGACTTGAATGCTGCCGAAGCTTTTCTTGATAATCTCTTCTACCTCAGCAGAGTAGAAACACTTTGATCATTCTCCTCAGGACTCAGTATTTTAATTATCTGTTTAATGCCTTTCTCTTCCACCCTAGTGAACTACTCAAGTGCAAATACCTTGTCTTATTTATCCCTAAACCTCATAGCCCATACTGTACCTGGCGTATAGAGATGCTTAGTGAGTAATTGCAGAATCAAATGAAAGAGTTAAAGTGATGGGCTGGAGTTGTGGAGTAAGGAGAACTTGGGCTTTGGGCTAATGGGAAGGAGATGTCATTGTATTCCTTTTTTAGATTGAAATTTTGCCCTGTATGTGCATTTAAAAATTAAAAACCTAATTGAATAAAAGGGGTGGGTAACCAGGGGCCAAATCTCTCTATTAATAAAATAAATTTGAAATTGTTAAGAAAATGGCAATTAAAACCCATATGTTCATGGAAAAGTTTAAATTTCTGTTTTAGTTTTTCCCTAAATGATTTTGCCGTATCATGTAACAGCAGTCTGTAGTCAAACAAGACTGATTTCAAGTGGAGAAATCGAATTTTTTAATTCTCTGGAGGGAGAAATCTTTGCCCAGTTAAGCTTTGTGTTATCTAGATGTTTTTATTTGTCTAGCGACCTCTTTTTCTTATTGAAAGAGTAGTTAAACCCTTTAGCACTGACTTTTTCAGGTTTACCATAATGTAATGACCTCCTTGAAAGAAGTACAGAATGTATTTTTGCTATGTATTTTTCATAATGTTACTTAAATTCTGTAGACATGAAACTAGATATAAAACCCTTCTTGGCTCATGCACCACTATAAACCAAATCTGTAAATTAAATACAAAGGCAACTACCAAAAAAACAAAATTTAAATGAATATAGTTATTCAGTGTGACAGATGATGTTTAGGTTTCACAGTAGAAAAAAGTAACTTTAGGTCTAATTCCATTTTAAATCTGTTTCTGTATTTTAACTAAAATAATAAAAGCTGTGAGCAGTGCCTCTTCTCATTGGTAATATTATGCAGGAGAGTATTAATGACTTCAAAGCTTTATTGGTAAGTTCAGAATGAGACATCATACCTAACCAAAACACTTGCCAGCAAGCATTCCTCAAATACAGGCTTATATGTTTTACAGAGATGTCAGCTGTTTTATTTATTGGAAGATACGGTTAATATTATGACATTATTGAAATCTTCATTAAATTGATTTTCTAAACCAGTTATTGCTGGAAATGAGAAATGGAAAAACATCATTGCATACCTACAATTACATTTACTGCTAACAAATATTTGCAGATTTTACTACACATATAGGACCCATATAACACTTGCATATAATAAAGTGCACATATGATATTGGCTGTTAGACTATTGGCTTTTGAATAAGCATGCCATGCCTGTATTGCCATATGCTCTGATGATTTGAGTTCCTTTTATTTTTTACTCTTTCTTTTAGAATGACCATGAAACTTAACGCTGTGTGTAGTGTGCCACAAGGACATTTGACCTGAAGGAGATCTTCACACAGCTGAAGAAGCAGCAGTGAAAGCCTAGTGCCAGTGTTTAGATAGTGGCTACTCATGATCTTGAATATTTATCCTTGTTTTTAGATTATCTTTGAAATGAAAATATTTGTTTAAAACTTGTATACAACTTATACATCCTTTTATCTCCCAATATATTTCGGAAACATTGTTTTAGCAAATATTTTTCTGATCACTGTCTGAGGAACCAGAATTCAGAGATGTGATAAACAAAACAGGCTTGGCCCTTCCTAAGGCAATGAAAGACACTTTAACAGCAAACTATAAATAGATTGATTTTCACTGTCCTAAAGGTATGCAAAAAGCGCTATGGAGCATATTGAAAGGAGCTACCAATTGTTGTGAAGGTAAGGGTGAGGTTTAGAGCACATCATGGAAAAGATCCTATTGGAATAGGGTCTTAAAGGATGAGTCAGATAAGAAGATAGGTTTAAACTAGACAGAGAGATGGTATATGTAAAGACCAAGGTTATGAAAGACACGATTATGATAATGGTGAGAGGTGTGTGGCCCTAAAATAGCGTTTGTCATGTGAGAAGTAAATTGGAACCCCAAACTACAAGTCTTGTTAGGCCAGGTGTTTAGCCCTTATTTCATAAACATAGGGGAGCCCTGGTGATCCAAGAACTGGGAGAGTATTCATGGCAGTATTTTTTATGTGTAGTGGTTGCCACATTGTATTATAGTGTTCTGCTTCACTTGTCTTTGGAGCTCTTCAAGGGCTGTGACCATTAGTTATTAGTCTTTGTATACTAAGCTTTTGGTAGAGGAACTGATAAAAGTAATGCTTAGAAAACATGGGTTGAAAGACTAATCATGAGTAAAGAGGATTTAGGAGAGAATTATGACAGTCTCCTATGGTGATAGTTTAATGCTTTGTGGGTCACAGACTCCTTTGTGAGTTATTTTGAAAGCTTTTCCGTGAAAATGCAAATACATATAACAGTAGGCTTATAGTTTTATGAAATTCATGTACCTTTGAAGCCAGTCCATGAATTCCTGGTTCAGAATTCCTCCTTAGGAAATTATACCCAGATCGCCATCATCATCACACATTGTGATGAATAATTACTATCTCTTTTAGCAGTTTTTAAATATATTATGATTGTGTCTCTTGTAATTTTCTTCTGTTTCTTTCGTACTTAGGAAGCAAATACCTGACCTGTTTATGAATAAAGCATTTTTAATAATGATTAAGGTAAAACGTTACTGGTCTGTAAAGATAATAGACAAGTGTGTGAATTAAGCAGCAACCAAAAAACAACTACTTGAGGAGAACCTGACATTCCTGAATTTGAGTTTAGCACGTGAGTTGGGAGTCTCCAGGGCCACCCTCAGACTTGCTGGAAAGACTCACAGGACTCAGAAAAGCTGTTATAGTCGTTGTTACAGTTTATTATAGCAAAACCAGACAGATTAACATCAGCAAAAGGAAAAGGCACCTGGAGTGAAGTCTAGGAGAAATCAGGCACACGTTTCCAGGTGTCCCATTCCAGTAGAATAGCATAGATGGCCTTAATTCTCTCAAAAACATGTGACAACATGCACAAAGTTGTGAACCAGGGAAGCTCACTTGAGCCTTGGTGTCCAGGGTTTTTATTGTTGGTCAGTCGCTTAGGCTTGCAGCACCTGCGTGACAGACTTCAGCCCCTCAGACTTTCCCCACCCGGCCCCCCAGCAGTAATAGGTGTTCTCTGTAACATTGTTAGAATAAGCTATCTGGCAAAATTGGTACCATGTGACCCAAGGCCTCAGGCATATAGAAATATTCTTGTCAGGGAGAATATTCCAAAAGTTTAGAGCTCCTCTACCAGGAGCCAGCCAAAGCCAGTTTTAAAGACACAGGTCTTTCTTGGGAATGTGCAGGCTTTGAGCAACTCAGTCCTGCTGAGTTAACCCTTTCTTGTACAGCAAGTTAGCTGTTCGGGGAGTTAGCTTTCTCTATCCTGCCTCTGTCTACCTAGCCACTCCTTTTTTAGATACAGTGGACCTCCCTGCTCTCCTCATAGATGGCCATTCCACATACCGAGACTCCTTTTTTTTTTTTTTCCTCTTGGCAACAAGTAATTGGAACATTTGGATTTAAGACTGTCTTTGCTTTGTAATTTCATGAGACCATGGTGAAATTATGTACCCGTTCTATCATTGCGATTCAACAAGTATTTCTTGGATGCTGCCATGTATCAGGCATGGTGTTAGATGGCAGATACACAGAAATGACTAATACAGGTATCTGGCCTCATGGAGTTTACAGTTTCATAGGAGAGAGAAAAACAAAACTAGCAATTCTGGTAAGCAGTGTGTGTTTTAGCATTTCATCAGAGAGCATGGTTGAAGATGTGTGTATCTGGCTGTATGGGAAGGTGTTGGTGATGTTTATAAGGCTTCCCTAAAGAGGTGACTCCTGGGGTTAAGCCATAAAGATCAAGTAGATATAAGTGGGTATGAAGCTAGTGTTTTGCCGCCAGTCGCTTCTGTAGTTAGGTTGCCTATGTGCTTGGAGCATTTATATATTGTTACTGGTATAGTCTGCCTGGCTTCACTAAGAGAATGCCTCAGTTCTGGCCAGAATATACATGTCTTTTTTAGGGTTTGCACCAAGGAGAATAGAGAGTGTCTGATTCAGTACAAATCTGTTTCCATTACTCCATTACCCAGAAACCAACTGAAATGGCATTAGCCTACAGTTAATGGATGGTAGTGTTTTCATGCATTTCTCCTCAAAGGAGGGGTATGTGAATGCTTAGTTTGGGGCTGGCTTAAAAATATATATATAACCTTACAAATTTAGATGTACTTTGTTTCTAATGGGAAGGCAAATGCTTGCCTTGCTTTGATGAAATTGCATGTAACAAAATTTTCCTATACTTGGAAGCAAAAAATTTTAGGAGGAAACCTGAGTCCAAGTGTTACTACATTTCAGGCTTCTACATGTATGTGGTTCTTAATAGAATTTAAAATTTCTAAGAGCAACAAATAGTTGTTTTTTTGAACAGTGCATATAAATTTTGTGATAAGATCAAGAATGTATTATTAGAGTGAATATTCGATAATTTCAAACTGTTAACTTTGAGTTTTTTTCTAATAGAATCGTTCTCTTTTCCAGCATTACAGTGTTTCTGCCACCTCTGTACAAAAGACAATTTTACTTGTGTGACAGATGGGCTCTGCTTTGTCTCTGTCACAGAGACCACAGACAAAGTTATACACAACACCATGTGTATAGCTGAAACTGACTTAATTCCTCGAGATAGGCCATTTGTATGTGCACCCTCTTCCAAAACTGGGTCTGTGACTACAACATATTGCTGCAATCAGGACCATTGCAATAAAATAGAACTTCCAACTACTGGTAAGTTGTATAAAATTTTTTGCTTAGCTATTACAAGAAAAACTCTTCATACTCTGTGATTTTAGAACTAGAAAGGATCGTAGAAATTGTCTAATCCAACTTGTTCAGTTTAGAGGCAAGAAGAGGAAAGAAGTGACTTGTCCATTATTATAGACTTACAAGAGTAGCCAAGATCCTGCCTCCTGGATATGTGTTGTTTAAGAAGGTGGTTCCAAGGTGGACTTCCTCTGAGGTCCGTTATACCTAAAAGGATAGATAAAAGCAAATTCTGACAAAGTTCACAACATCTTAGATTGTCTCTACTTTCTTCTCAGAGTGGATTTCTTCTTCCTTATGTAATACTCCTGTCTTTTAAAGCAATCAACAGCAGTTTAATGACTGGGGATTCAGAGCAGCGCTAAACAGTCTAGATGCTTTTATTTTGTAATTTCAGCTTATTTTATCTTTATGCATAAATTAATTATACATGATTTCTAGATTTTTGTTCCTTCACCTGTAGTTTACATTTAAAATTTCCTAGGGCTGGGTGCAGTGGCTCACACCTGTAATCCCAGCACTTTGGGAGGTTGAGCCGGGCAGATGACTTGAGGCCAGAAGCTCAAGACCAGCCTGGCCAACATGGAGAAACTCCTTCTCTTCTAAAATGACACAAATAAAATTTCCTGGCAGAACCAACAGTTTGAAAGCTTCATAAACTTCTTAGTTTCAAGATTCTGGTTTAAGATGAAAGTCTGAGCAGATGTGTATCACTCTTACCACTTTCCCCGGACCCCAAAGGAATGTAAAAATGAGGCCAACCTATATTAATGCTAGTAGAATTAATGGTAGAATGCTACCCACATGCCAACACTTTTGAGGAACTTCAGCAGTTTACAGTACAGATGACACCAGACTAGTGAAGAATTGACTAGTCATATAAGAAAGATTAGTCATTGAAAAATCTACCCAATAACTTAGATGAGGGACTAGGGGAAAGTTGGGGTATGGGGCAAACTCTCAGTTCCCTTTTAGGAAGCACCTGGCTTCAGTTCTCAGAGGAGCAGACACAGTTGGTCTAGGCCTTGTGCTGATTAAAAGAGGAAGCATTGCTGTAGCACAGAAGGAAAAGGTCAGTCCTCCTGGTTTCAGAAGGGAGGCAGCCCTCCACCTGTTCAGCATGATAATGCAGCTCCCTGTGGTAAGGGCTGGTCGGACTGAAATGTCTTTGTGACTTTGATGAAGGCATCTGGAGTTATAACGTGGCAAAGAAAAGGATAATTTCAGAATTTCCCATTTCCATCATTTGAGCTCAAAATATCTGAGTAGAGATTTGCAAAACCTTGTGAAGAAGTCACTTAATTTCTTATGTTTCTAATGAACATATATTCACTTCTCATTTCCAGCTCTAGGATAGGCAAACAGCAAAAAATTACCAATGAAAAGTTAGGAGTTCAAAAGAAGTAGTCTGCACTACATAGATTAGATGTCATCCTAAGAGCTAGGCTTACCACATGATAGGAAAGAAGTTTTAAACAGTTTAAGGTCTATTTTCAGTTATTGACTGTGAAATGAGAACATTTCACAGTTGTTAAAGGTTGCTTTCAGAGGAAAAGTCCAACTGATGAATGTTTTAAAAAATGCATTATTGAGAGTGAACAACAGACTGGATGCTATAATTTTATAGTCAAGTTTAGGACAAGCTTAAGAAATTGTGTTACAATTCAGAGAAAAGACAGTTGGTGAGCATATTAAGAGTTATAGGGAACAGATTTAGACTCTCCAATATGCTTATTATCAGAATTCTAGAAGGCATGATATCAGAGAGAAGACAGAATACCGCACAGAATTAGTGAAAAATATTAATCCAAACACATATAATAAAAATTATCAATTTCAAGAATAAAAGAATTATGTAAGCATTTAACACACATAAACATTGGTTACCTATAAAAGGCAAAAAAAAAAAAAAGGTTCACATTTTCTGCTTAAATATCAGAGGGCAAATGGAATATTCTTGCTGTCACCCAAAATTCTTGAAATAGGCCGAGACTTTTCATATAGAAAGGCAACAGCCTTCTTGCCACAACTAAGTTCAGTGTACAAGGACCCATAGACTCTTCCTGAAAGAAATTGCTAGAAATAGGATTCTGTGTGATAAGGGATTAATCTACTAAAGATCTCGAGAATGGGAAAGATGTGATATGAATGAAGTGGTGGTAAGCAGTAAACCAGTAAGGCTCAGGATGAATGTCAAAATAATTGTAATGTTCTGAAGCAACCAGAAGAATCTTAATTATTAGTAGAAGTTACAAGAAAATGATTTGGCCTTAAAAGTCCAGGAGTTTAAAATTATATATATATGAAAACTCTGTTAAAAAAAAAAAAAAGGATATGTTTTGCCTTTTAAAAAATTGGTGGAGAAATGGGCTGGGCACAGTGGCTCATGCCTGTATCTCAGCACTTTGGGAGGCCAGGGTGGGTCACTTGAGGTCAGGAGTTTGAGACTAGCCTGACCAACATGGTGAAACCCCATCCTCTACCAAGATACAAAAATTAGCCAGGTGTGGTGGTGCAAGACTGTAGTCCCAGCTACTTAGGCAAGAGAATCCCTTGAACCTGGGAGGCGGAGATTGCAATGAGCTGAGATCGCGCCACTGCACTGTAGCCTGGGCAACAAGAGTGAAACTCCATCTCAAAAAAAAAAAAAAAAAAAAAATAAAAATTAGAGATATATACTAAAATGTGAGTTGTTTGGGAGTGATGAATGTGAGTTGCTTGGGAGTGATGAAGATGTATGTGTTTTGGGTTTTTTGTTTTTGATTTTTTTGTTGTTGTTCAGGTTTTTTTCCCCCTGCTATGGGTATGTACTGCCTTAGAACAAGAAGACAAGCCAAACATACTTTTAAAAAACAAGATGATTATTAAGGAGATGTTAATGGGTATTGTTACAGGTTATTGGTATTAGTAACCTGATGTGATAAATGGGGAAGGTCCTATAATATTGGTGGCAGCTGACCTTGTGATGATGGCTGAAGAATACAGGAAGAGAAAGTGGGTACTGACAGAGCTGGTGTTCATAAAAGGAGGCCTACTGGGAGAAGACTGAATGATTCACTTGTTCTGGGTTTGAGCCCTATAAGCTGTTGTAATGAGGCTCTTCGGCTACGTGGTGGCGGTGGCCAGCTGCAGGAATTGTGTAGGATTAGGAAAATGGGGGTTGCCACCTACAGTGTTTTTGTTGTTGTTGATGTTTGTTTCACTCGAGGCCCTTTTTCAGTGAAGCCATCACCTGGCCTTGGTCCCGTGGAACTGGCAGCTGTCATTGCTGGACCGGTGTGCTTCGTCTGCATCTCACTCATGTTGATGGTCTATATCTGCCACAACCGCACAGTCATTCACCATCGAGTGCCTAATGAAGAGGATCCTTCATTAGATCGCCCTTTTATTTCAGAGGGAACTACATTGAAAGACTTAATTTATGATATGACAACGTCAGGTTCTGGCTCAGGTAATGTAATTGTTTCTCCTTTTTCCTAAGAAATCTTTTAAAAATTAAGTGGTATTTATTTTATTAGTGTTTTTTTTTTTTTTTTTTTTGAGACGGAGTTTCGCGCTTGTTACCCAGGCTGGAGTGCAATGGCGCGATCTCGGCTCACCGCAACCTCCGCCTCCTGGGTTCAGGCAATTCTCCTGCCTCAGCCTCCTGAGTAGCTGGGATTACAGGCACGTGCCACCATGCCCAGCTAATTTTTTGTATTTTTAGTAGAGACGGGGTTTCACCATGTTGACCAGAATGGTCTCGATCTCTCGACCTCGTGATCCACCCGCCTCGGCCTCCCAAAGTGCTGGGATTACAGGCTTGAGCCACCGTATTTTATTAGTTTTTTAAATAAACTAACTTGTTAGAATGTGAGATAAGTAATATTACAGGTTTGAACCTAATAAAAATCTTTAAGCTTGCTATATATATGCCTGTGGCTAGTTTAAAACAGATTGGAACTTACTTTAACTGTTAAAATGAGTCAGAAATCAGCTTCATGGTGGTATAAATTTCAAAGCATTCTCACCTGTATCATCAAATTTGCTTTTCATCACTGTGAAAGAGGTAGAAAGGATAAAAACAATTATTCTCATACAGATGAAGCTGAAGTACAAGATCTTCAAACCATCTGCAGCTAACCCATTCTGTTCAGGATTATTTAGCAGCTTGATGTTTATATTTGAAACAGGCATGACAGAAATGTATTCTGAATTGTGAAGGTTATTTGCTTTTTAAACATTATATGAAATTGTCTTTAGTACAGGCCTCATTTTAAAAAATTAAACTAATGAACTCTTATGTCATTTTCTCACTTCAGAAAAATGTCTAGTCACCTTCTTATTTAATGTAGTTTTGGCCCCTAATGAGGTTTGCCTTTCTCAGTTCTGTTTGTTGATATTTGTGGAGAGCTAATTGACAGTCATCCCAGGGTGGATTTTGGCATAGCAGTGCTTCATGTTTAAACTGATGGACAGCTATCTTTTACTTTTTCTTGCATGTGGTTTGGAAGACTATTAAGGAACACTCCTATCTCTTATGTTTTTACAATTTGATACTTGACTAAGAATAAATAGAATCTAGGTTCCAAGGCAAGCTTTGTCATAGATTGGCTGTATAATCTTGGTTAAAACATGTTTCCTCTTTCGGCTTCTGTTTCCTCATCTAAAATATGGAACCCATACTGTTGATAAAAACACTTCAAATGGTTTGTTAAGACTTTTAAATGAGATATACCATCCTTTGAAAAGTATGAATCATCTTCAAATAAGGGCCAAATTCAGGAATGAAGTGAAAATTTGGAAAGCATATGTAATGAAAATTTCAATAATTTTGGTGAAACCCCATCTCTACTAAAAATGCAAAAAAATTAGCCAGGTGTGGTGGCATGCACCTGTAGTCCCGTCTACTCAGGAAACTGAGGCAGGAGAATCACTTGAACCTGGGATGTGGAGATTGCAGTGAGCCAAGATCGCACCACTGCACTCCAGCCTGGGCAACAGCGTGAGTCTCTGTCTCAAAAAAAAAAAAAGATAATTTTATAATCGAATGATATTAAAGGAATATTAAAGCAGAAGTTGTGACTGGTTAAGAATATAATTCTGAAGCAAAAACCACATCTAATGTGCAGAAAGCTCATGTAATGACAAATGTCTATTTATTTTAAGGAAATGAATGTATATTGGTATGTATGCATATCCATTCATTTAAGAATGAAGAAACTGATTATATTACCTGAATTATTCTTCTGTAGAATTTGACCATATGTATTCAATAAGAGGGCTCTCTACTTGACTGCTAGGATAAATACATACTGCTAGGATACATACTCTTCTGAAGTGAGCCCAAGTCCCAGAAGGCAACCTTAGAGACTCCTGAGACAGTTGTGCAAGGAAGGCAATGAGAGTTTGTACTTAGATGGAGCAGTCTTAGTACTGAAGGTATCTTTGGGCAGGAATGATGGAGAGAGGTAATTTTAATAGCTTTCCTGGGACTTCCCATTTATTCCTCGTTCAGATTTTCCAAGGAAGATTTTGTTCATTCTAGAAGTAATCCTGCCCAAAACTGTGATAAGCAAGGACCAGAGTCACAGAAAATCAGGATGGCTACAGATCATTTGGAATTAATTCCTCAGACCCATTCTCTTGTTGCTAAACTTCTACTCTGGGAAGACACAGCAGCTCATGCCACTTGCCACAGTGGAATAAGCCCACCGGATTAAAGGAATTGGTGGGTGGGTGGCAGTTGATTACTGAATAAGAATATTTTCATTTGCCTTTTAAGGTATAAACATGAAAAAGAATGATATTATTGTTTCCATTTTATATATATTTCTAGATCTGTCAGGGACCATAGCTCTCTGTTGTCTGAAAGCTTCTCTCCCTCCTTTATGCCTTACCCTGCAAAATTGTCTGCATTGCTTGCTAGCTCTTTGGCTTTGGGCAGTTAACCAATGTCTCATGCTTGAGTTATTTCATCTTTAAAATGAAAGTGTTGGACTCTGCTCTCTGCTCATCATTGGATCGTTGTGAGTTCAAGTGAGACAAAATGTTTGCATGAAAGTGCTTGGTAAATTGTAAAGTTACATCCAGATGACAAGTGTTACTCTTATTGAAAACATATTTGGAAGGAAAATCTCACATACAGTATCAGTTGACTGCATTGTACAAAACTTAGTTTAAGGCCTCCTTTGCCTGTCATAGTTCATTGTGTACTGAATTCCCTTCAAACCTATCCAGGCAGAAGTCATCTTCTGTTGAATATAGCAGAAAATGCCATCTGTTTCCCTTCTATTCATTATAAATCCTTAATGCCACCTTAGGCATGAGACTAGTGCCTGTGAATAAGTAAAATGTGTGTTTATAATACTTTGTTTTAGTTCTTTGATTAATTGAGAAAAAGATATAACCATTTCACATTCTGAATTCATGTGTTTATTACTCAATTTCGTGACCATAATTAAGGAAAGGCCCTATCTCTACCTCTAAAGACTGCTTTTAACTTGGGGACTTCAGAGAATACAATGAAGAGCTGGGTTCTGGCAGCTGTACCCCAAGTGTGTGAGTGTGCACATGTGCATATGTGCCAGCTTTTGAAAGTGAGTCTCCTAGGCCAGTGTTTGCTATAGCTTGGGCAGCTTATGAGCGCTTGTAATATATGCATGTTGTTCAGGTCTTATTTCCTGTTCTGCATGTGAAGCTGCACAGCCCCTGTTTCCCTTTTGAAGTTTTCTCTCCAACAGTTCTAAAGGTAGAGAAGAGTAAAGCAGAGAATATAGAGATGTAAATCAGGCGTGTTCAGTTTTGTCTTTAGAAGAAAATGGTTACTATTTTTTTCTTTTTGAGACAGGAGTCTCTCTCTGTTGCCCAGGCTGGAGTGCAGTGGCATGAGCTCAGCTCTCTGCAACCTTCATCTCCCAGGTTCAAGCGATTCTCCTGCCTCAGCCTCCCAAGTAGCTGGGATTACAGGTGTGTGCCACCACGCCTAGTTAACTTTTGTATATTTAGCAGACACCAGGTTTCACCGTGTTGGCCAGGCTGGTCTCGAGCTCCTGATGTCAAGTACTGCCTCGGCCTCCCAGAGTGCTGGGATTACAGCTGTGAGTCACTATGCCTGGTCAACTGTTACCTTTTTTAAATGCTCAACTATTCATATGAAGTAATCTAATATAGATAATATAATGGATAAAGATTTGCTTTTTAATTTTAATTCTTCATCTAGAATCCAGTGATAAAGAGGAAGACAAAAACTTTTCTTATCCTGTTGGCCTTTATTGACCATACCATCTACATAAGTCCTGAACCTGTCAGTTGTTTTCAGACTTTGTGTTTGTGATTCCTTTTTCTTTATTATTGCTGGCCTTTGTAATTTCCAGATTAGTCTCCTCAAATTAACTCTTAAGTATACTGTTAAGTCTGTGGTGTGGCCCTCTACAAGGCTTTCAGACAATGTTATAAATTAGTATCTGCACCAAAAAACATAATTAGAATTGATTATTCATAGTGCAAAAGAGCTCCTTGATTCAAGTAAGGATTTCTGACAGATCTAACTAGCAGTCTCCCTCTAAACACAAACAGTTATTTATAGTTAGACTGCTAACTGCTTTGCAGGAGGTGGGGAGGGTAGAGCAAGAGGAATAAAGGAACCCATTTGAGAAACTTGAAGATGAGAGAAGAAGAGCTTCTGATTGCTTTGAAGATTTAACATACGGATTTATAAGCATTTCACATCAGGGAACCAAAGAGATCAGATAATTTCATTTACTATCATTGGGTTAATTTGATCTACCAAGCAGCTTTGAGTATAAATTATAAGTGACACAAATTTATGTGTACATAGATGGTATAAATAAGATACTAGTGAGGAACATAATGAACACTGGATTTTCTTTGTTAGTGTCGGTGTAATTAAAAATGACACTTGTCAGATGGGGAATAGGATATTGAGTGATTGTCTCACATATAGTGACACGTTAATGTTGCAGGTAGGTAGTAAATCCTTTTAAATGAAATAAGTATGGCAATACTTAAAAATGCATATTTTGGAGAAAGCCAGGTTCAATTAGTGGAAAAACAGTGCTCCATTACCAAGGTAAGTTACTTGGCATTGTTCTGTAAGATACTAGTGTTGCCTGTGTAGCCAGTTGTTAGCAAGTAAATTGCTTGCCTTGAAATAGTTTCTGTGGTGATTTTTACTGATTTATTAAAAAGCCAGAATTTACTTCTGTGTTTCTGTGTTCACATCCTTTTTTCCCCCTATCAGTGAAACCGTTACCAGACTCATCTTTCTAAAATAAGATTTTAAAATTGTCTCACTCCCAGCCATGACCCTTTTCCTCAGAAATCTTTAAAGATTCCTCTTTTACCTAAAGCTCTTATTGGTTATTTTGAGCTTGATATACAGTACTCATCTTCTGGTAACAGTTTACCCTCTCTTTCACTGCTTTGCCACATATATCCTCTCTCTGATTACCCAAGCTGGTTCCCTAAACATGTGTCATTCATTTCCTTCTACCTTTGCTGCACATTATTCCTACCTAACCACCGTACTTAAGGGATAGTCAAAATTCAACTTACTTTTACAAAGCCTACCTTGACTCTCTAGCAGGAGTGTCTAGATTCTTTTATTATATTTATTGTCTTATTTTCCTTTTTTAATTAGTTATTTTATTGCAAATGTAATACATACCTCCCCAATGAGATAAGTTCCTCAAGGGATAGTTTTCTGGATCACTCATTAGTGCCTGTCGTGATGTTTGAAATATGTAATACTGTTGTGTTGAGTACTATTTATTTTTATCTTCAGGTTTACCATTGCTTGTTCAGAGAACAATTGCGAGAACTATCGTGTTACAAGAAAGCATTGGCAAAGGTCGGTTTGGAGAAGTTTGGAGAGGAAAGTGGAGGGGAGAAGAAGTTGCTGTTAAGATATTCTCCTCTAGAGAAGAACGTTCATGGTTCCGTGAGGCAGAGATTTATCAAACTGTAATGTTACGTCATGAAAACATCCTGGGCTTTATAGCAGCAGACAATAAAGGTCAGTAACGTTAGCTTTTCCTTATCTTGTCTATAACAAAATCTCTTCAAGCCTTTACAGATACGTTGACTAAACATCATCAGAGTAGATGAGAAATCAATGTCTGTCATGTGGATCAGATCCATTAAGTCAAATACAATATATTAGTAACTTTTAGAACTAGGAACTTCTTAAAAATTTTCTTGACTCTTGGTAACATATTCATAAAATCCCTTATTGTTTTATAAAATGTGAAAGAGCTATTTTAAAAAGCTATGTACTTTGGTTGGTTTAGTTTAGGGCAGCTAGTTATTGAGAATAGTCATGATATAGAAAAAAATGTGTAAACTTGCTCAAAATTCTGAGAAGAGGGCTCAGATAACTATTTCCTTTTTATCTTCCTGACCAGTAGGATGTTTCAATATAGACTATTGACCTTATTTATGGGGAGAGTAAAAATAACTTGTCAGTGTTCTGAGTTGCCAAGGGCTAAGTAAGTAGATGAATCTTTTGGTAAACTCAAAGAGAGGAAAGGTTTCTTCAGCCACCCTGCCATTGGTAACCCTATGGACGCTTTCTTGCTTGTCGTGCCGGTGCCTGAGGCCCAGTGTCAGGTCAGATACTGAAGAGGGAAGGAATCCTGTTGGTAGGGAGTCAAAATGAGTGGGGACTGCAAGCAGCGATCTCAGACTGCTGCTGCTGCTGCTTTCTTAACTTCTGTTAATACCTTTATGCCCACAATTCCTACTTTCACTGCTTCTGTCAGAGACTTGTATTTCAGCTCCACACTTGTCCCTACCCCTGAGTCAAATGTATTTCCCAGCTTTCCTATTTTTTAAAAAAATGCTGTCATTATTGCTTAGCTTGGCTGGACCTGTAGTCATCCTTTTCCTTCTCTCACCTTCCATTTTCTTAGCAATATTTATTTATTCAAATATTAACAATTTTTAATCTCACTTGGTAATTATGGGTGATTTTTATGATTTTTCCCCCCTCTGGGTTTTCAAATTTATTTACAAGCATGTATTGCTTTTTTTTTTTATTAAACTTATTTGTAGAAAATTTTCAGTATGTGGAAAAGCAGAGTAGTTACAGTGATCCCTCATCATCCAGCTTCAGCAGTGGTCAGGTCACTGCCATCATAATTGATCTCTAGTCCCGCCTACTCTGCCCTAACTGCGTTATTTGAAGCTGGTCCCAGATAACATCTTTTCATCCAGAAACACATATAAATGTAGTTTGTGTCTTCAAATGATGAGGAAATGTTTTTATGAAACAACCACACTACCATTGTTAATTGTTTAAATGTTATCAAATATCCATTTAGGTTCAAATTCTGTAATTTTCTCTTATTTTAAAAAATTATTTATTCAGATTATGGTCCTAAGTCCACACGTTGCATTTGTTTGATATTTCTCTTATGTCTCTTAAAATCTTTAAGTCCCCCTTCACCTTTTTTCTTCTCTTGCAGTTTATTTGTTGAAGAAATTGGATAGTTTGTCCTGTAGGGCCTATCACATTCTGAATTTTGCTAATGGAATTTCCATAGTGTCTCTTAACTTGTTCCTCTGTGTTTTCTAAAAACTAGTAGTTAGATTTACAAGCTAAACCTAATTGGTGTTTTATTGGTTTTCTCAAAATACACACTAAGGATATTATATACATCTTATTGCATCATATGTGGAAGTATATAGTATTTGATTAGGATGGGGCAGTGATGTATATGATTGATGTAGGTAGTGATTATCAATGGCACACGACAATGCAATATTACTTAAGTTAAAAATAAAACAAACAAAAGTAGTAATCAGTCTGACCAAATTCTTAGTTCTCATTTTCGTTTCTGCCTCTGACACCGTTTATTTCCTCCCCCAAGTCTTAAAACAACCTTTGCTTTACTTACTATGCTCAGTGACCCTAGACTTTCTTTGTTCCTTCTTATTTCTTTGTAGTTGTCTTTGTTTTCTCAACTCTTACTTTTCTCACTGGTTCATATGAAGGTACTGATTCTACAAATGGTAATTTCTTCTTCAAGAACGTACCCTGCACTCATGGTTGCAAACTCTGCCATGTTGGCAACTCTTGAATCTGCATTTTAAAGCTTAAACCTCACCCGGTGTCTGGTTTTTGTCACATTCCAAGTTAGAAACACAGCAGCACAAAATGTTGGTGAGTCTGTGCCCTGAACTGCTAACCAAGCTGATGCTGTCATCTGGTGGTCACCATGGGAACTAGCTGACCCTACTGGCTCTTCCCTACTCCCTTTCTTTCTTCTTTTCAGGGCTTAATGTATTTTCTCTGAGCCTAGCTCCTCCATCCCAGTTCTTTATCTTCTCCTGATTTAATTAATTCCACCCCCAGCAGCCCTTTATATGTATGACCCCTTACATATAACCTTCCTTCTGCCTTTCTTATCAGTAACCTGCAGTCTCCCTTTCTTCCATCTGCCTGTCTTCCTCTTTATTTCTTGTATTGGTGAACTTTTCAAAATTCAGTAATAGATAAGAGGCATGCAACTAAGCTAGTGATATACCTAAAGCAAGGGTGCGAGTTTGGACAGAATCGGTTTATAAAGTTCATGAAGGACAAGTAAATACTAAGTCCTGTAAAATGTACCCAGAAATCTCTTCCAAAATCTTCTGAAAGTTCCCATTCCTTTCTTAATCTCTTCTAATCGGAGTTGCTTTTCTTCTTCAAGTAAATACCTTCAAAATAGAAGCTGTTTCCTGTCAATATGCATTTTTTCTTTTGTTTTACAACCAGCAGGGAAAGAAAGAGCACAGTTTAAATTATGTACTTCTGGCCTAAAGAATCTAGTATTTCGTTTTTTAAATCTTAACAGTCTTACAAAATAAGATGTTATTCTTGTTGTATAAAAGGAGAAACAGAGGCTGGTTGGCTAAGAAAGCATCAATAACAGGCAGGCCATGGATTCCATTCCAGATCAGAATGACTCTAAGCGTGCATCTTTTACTGGATTGTGCTGTCTCCTAATGTTGTAATGCTTTCTTTCTTCATAGCTTAATTAAATATGTGGTTTTCTAGCTACTTCCAGGTTAAATTAGACTTTTGTGGACCAGTCTAGCCTAGGAGGCTAGCTAGCAGCTTTACCATTATTCCTATGAGAAAACATGTTTTAAAATCATGTATTGGCTTACAGAGGAAATTTTGGAACCCACATTCTTAGTTGTTTGAGTTTAGTCCCAGCTTTTCCAGCTTTTTCTCCTGACATTTCAATTCCTATTTCAGCTTTCCCATGTGTTAGAGGTATCACTATTTCTGTTTTTCTAAGCTAGCAACCTTGGAATCATAATCATCTTATCTTGCGTCTTTGTGAACTGTGTATACAATCTGTCACTAAAGCTTGTCATTTCTCATCGAAACTCGCTTTCAGTTTTGTCCCATACTCTTCCATTCCCCCTGTGGCCCCACTGGGCTCCAGAGACTTCTCACCTCCTTCCTTTCTTCTCTGTTTCCTTCCTGTTTTTAGCCATTTTTCCTTCCAGGAGCAGCCACTGAGCACCCAACCCGACCCAGGGATTTTTCTAGGCACTTAAGAGTGCCAGCTCTGATACTAATTATTTGTGAAGACTCAAGAAAGTCACCATCTTTGTCTCTTAAATGAGATTAATTATTCTCACCTTATCTCAAGAAGAGGGACTTATTCTGAGAAACTAAAGGATGTGTATATAAAATATAAGATAAACTGAATGTAGAAGAAAATGTGAAGGAAATACGGACTTAAGTGGCATTATATTGTAGTGTGTGACTCAGGATTGAGAGTAAAAAGTGATAACCTTTGAACAAATAAATCATAAATGGTCTACAGCCCAACCAAAATGCTGTTAATTCTGTTTACAGACAATGGTACTTGGACTCAGCTCTGGTTGGTGTCGGATTATCATGAGCATGGATCCCTTTTTGATTACTTAAACAGATACACAGTTACTGTGGAAGGAATGATAAAACTTGCTCTGTCCACAGCAAGCGGTCTTGCCCATCTTCACATGGAGATTGTTGGTACCCAAGGTAACTCTATTAGCAATTCTATATTTAAGCTTTAAGTTTCCATGAATAATGTCTATGAAAATAGAAGGTAGAGGCCAGGCCTGGTGGCTCACTCCTATAATCCCAACACTTTGGGGGCTGAGGTGGGCAGATCGCTTGAGCTCAGGAGTTCAAGGCCAGCCTGGCAACGTGGCAAAACCCCATCTCTACCAAAATACAGAAAATTATTTAGGCATGGTGGCATGCACCTATAGTCCCAGCTACTCAGGAGACTGAGGTAGAAGAATTACCTGAGCCTGGGAGGTCGAAGCTGCAGTGAGCAGGCATCATGCCACTACACTCCAACTTGGGTAATAGAGTGAGATCCTGTCTCAGAAAAAAAAAAGAAAAAAAGAGAGAAAGAAAATAGTAAGTGGCCTAACTGGAGATATTTAAAACAAAATTTTTAGATGAGAACATTTTATCTTTCAGTTCAAAGTTTCAAGTAGAGCTAGGAATCTCGAAATTTGTTTAGAGATTCTCTAGTCATTGTAACAAAACTGTGATTTTTTATTTTTAGTTCTTAAAAGTAGCATTCAATCTTTGATTTTTGAGGATTTTAGTTTCGGAATTCGAGTCTAAGTGAATATATTTTAATGTGTACTATTAAATGAGAAAGTGCTTTGAAAACTTCAGCATGTTATATAAATGTTATCTGGCCATCTAATAATTATATTTGAGCTTGAGATAAGGAGACTGCATGAGATAGTTTTACAGTTGAAAAATTAAATACTAAGTTTTAGTTATGTAATTTTATGCTGTGGTTTTTGTGCCGTGTAGGATTTCAGATGCCAGTATAGCCCTCTGCTCTAGCAGTTTTCCACTTGCAACCCAATGGCTCCCCCAGTCCCCACTTTACATGCAGCATAAGTGCTTGTTCACATCTTAACCAGCTCTATCTTTGTAATTAATGTTATTATTGATTATAGCAGTTTTATTGAGTTATAATTCACATCATGCAGTTCAAACCCACTTCAAATTCAGTGGTTTTTAGAATACTCAAGAGTTGTACAACCAAGAAACACTACAGTGAATTTTAGAGTATCTTTATCACTCCAAAGAGAAACCCTGTAGGCACTAGCAGTCACTCCCCTTTCCCCCTAAACTCCTAGTCCTAAGCGACAACTGCTGCTTTCTGTCTATAGATTTGCTTATTCTGCACATTTTATATAATGAATCATACAATATGTTGTCTTTTGTAACTGTCTTCTTTCACTTAGCATGTTTTCAAGGTTCATTTATGTTGTAGCATGTATGAGTACTTCAGTCATTTTGATGGCTGAGTAATACTTCAGCGTATGGATATACCACATATTGTATATCCATCAGCTGATGGGCATTTGGTTTGTTTCTTCTTTTGGCTATTGTAGCTAATGCTGTAATGAACATTTGTGTATAAGTTTTATGTTGGTACATGTTTCGGGTTATCTTGGGTATATACCTAGGAGTTGAATTTCTGTAGCATATGATAACACTATTTAATGGTTTGAAGAACTGCTATACTGTTTTCTTAAAGTGTGTGAACCATTTTACATTCCTGCCAGCAGTATGTAACGGTTCCAAGTTTTCCACATTATAATTTTTTTTTCTTTTGAGACGGAGTCTCCCTCTGTCACGCTGGAGTGCAGTGGTACGATCTCACATCACTGCAAGCTCCACCTTGCAGGTTAAAGCGATTCTCCTGCTTCAGCCTCCCAAGTAGCTGGCATTACAGGCACATGCCACCATGCCCAGCTAATTTTTGTATTTTTAGTAGAGACGGTTTCAGCATGTTGGCCAGGCTGGTCTCAAACTCCTAGCCTCAAGTGATCCTCCCGCCTCGGCCTCCGAAAGTCCTAGGATGACAGGTGTTTTTAATAACACATATTCTAGTGGTTAGTATCAAAGATAATACACTTAATACTGAGTACATTTTAATTGATAGGGAAGTGATAATCTACATGCTTGGTTCCTGAGCTGCTGGAATATCAGTCTATGGCTGAGTTTCTTATAAAGAATTTATAAGGCACCAACAGATAAACTGATAAGATTTTTTGCCTCCAGTCTTGGAGTTGTTAATTGATTGTTATTGTCCTCATTTTCTTTAAAGAAATATAATTTCAATGACTTTTGGTGTAAAGATTTACTTGAGTTTATTTAGTAATGGTTTAGGTATTGTTGGTCATGTGAGCTGAAATGATTTGATACATTTGGGTTAGGAGAAGAGACTTTTGAACCTAAAGGTATGAGTTGTGATTGGTATTACCTTTTAAGCAGTCATATTTAATTTTTGATTCTTTAGGAAAGCCAGCCATTGCTCACAGAGACTTGAAATCAAAGAATATCTTGGTAAAGAAGAATGGAACTTGCTGTATTGCAGACCTAGGACTGGCAGTAAGGCATGATTCAGCCACAGATACAATTGATATTGCTCCAAACCACAGAGTGGGAACAAAAAGGTATATACTTTTGAACAAATGTATTTAATATCTTCTGAAATCACCTTTTTTCCCTTCTCTTTTATATGTACATATCATCACTGAACTCAGCTTAAGTTTGTACTTTATTAGATTGCCAACAGGCAAGAAGATCTCATGGTCTTACCTGCTCTGAAGCCAAAGTTACCTGACTTAAAAAGATGCCTATTGATGGAAGGTTGCCCTTCCAGAAAATATTATTAGTCATGTTAATTATAATAACAGTTAGTAACTCACGTTTATAGGGCACCTATTATGTGCCAATCATCTGGGTAATAGGTCTTTTACGTATATTGTCTGATTTAACACCCTTCTCAAATACTGTGCTATAGCTAGCCCTACTGTTTTAATATTTCAGTCCCTGAAAATATGTCTCTGTTGCTTTCTTAGAACTTTTGCACATGCTGTCACCTGGAGCATACATTACCCTACTGTTTCTCAGCCACATACCCACCTTTCCCATAGGAAGTTTTTTCTGGTCCTCAGGACTCTTAGGAGTCCCTCCAAGGGCTGTGATAGCACACTGAACTGGGACCATTGAGGCACTTATGCATTATGTTGTAACTGTTTATTTATTTGCCTGCATATTCTATCAGGTGCAAGCTGCTTGAGAGCAGACTTGTATTCTCAGCATCCTTCACAGTGCCTAATACATGGTAGATCCTCAGTCGGTATTTGTTGAGTCCATGAGTCTTCAAAAGAACTTAATTAGGTAGGTGTTGTTACCCTTAATTCACAGATGAGGAAACCACCTTGTGGAGGTTAAATAATTTGGCCAACTTCATGTGGATGATAAGCCAGAGAGCTGAGATTTGAACTTGGGCATTTCTGACACAAAGCCCTTTTGACATCTTGTCACAGCATTTCTTCAAACCTACTGCCTTGGCTTTGGAGAGAGCCGGAGAGCTGGCAGCATTAGTCTATTCAAATTGCATGTATGATTTTGAGATTTCTGGATTCACTGGGGATTCTCAACTCTGAACCAGCTAAGGGGTCCTTGGCAGTGGTTGCTGCAGGTCTCTGTGGGTCCTGACCCATAATTTTAGTAGTTTTTTGAAGCTTCAGAACCCTCTAGTGTAGCATCAGTAGGAGAACTGGCATTCTTTTGTATCTGTTATCTTTTTCCCTGGAGTATATTCCTGCCCTTCTTTTCATCCTCAGTGAGAAGACTTCTAGATTCAAATGCATGGTTTCTGCCTAGTACATGTATAGGTGGTGTACGTTAGGACATCTTAAATGGTTACAATGGTTATATGTGTGTCTTTCACTGGAAACCAAGATCATGAGGCAGGTAGCGTGAAACAGCTGTTTCAGTGTTTTGTGGGATTTAGTTGACATCATTAATGTGCAAACCAGTGTGTGTATTTAATATTTTTCTTGAGTCTAATGTTTGCTGTGTAATATTGTGTGCAGATGTCTATGTATAGAGAAATGTCTGAGTGAATGTTCATCATAATGTGACAGTAAGGGCATGACTTTCAAAGTTCTTTTTGCAAATTTTCTTTTAGGTACATGGCCCCTGAAGTTCTCGATGATTCCATAAATATGAAACATTTTGAATCCTTCAAACGTGCTGACATCTATGCAATGGGCTTAGTTTTCTGGGAAATTGCTCGACGATGTTCCATTGGTGGTAAATTGCTCCCCTTTCCCCCAACAGTTTGTCATGAACAGAAGTTGTTCAAGAATTATCTTCTTTTTTTGTTGAATGAAATTATGTACAGTTCATCATCTGAAACAGGAGGTCACCAAGTGCCAGAGAAAACAAAGGCGATGAAACCTTTGGGAGAGGACAGTGCCATGGTGTACACATGCACACCTCTAGCCTAGTGTATTCTCTTAATGCTTCTATTTGAATCTTGAGACTCATCAGAACCCAACCCCTTGTTATATTGGAATATAGTTCTTTTGAAAGGACAGCTGCTTGAGAGGCTCACCTAGGAAGCTGTTTCTAGCATGTACCTGGGTAACAAACTTATTTTTTTTCATTGAGATTGCAGCTCTTATCTCCAACTTGATAGTTATAGATTACATACACAGAGCACAATTACGTTACCATTGTGGTGTTTTCTAGAGTTTGTTTTAACTTCTAGCTTTTTAGATGAAGCACTTTTTAATGTTTACCCAGGAAACAGTCTCTTCAGCTTAGGGACCTAGGCTTGGCTGAGGCCTAGCGCCTTCGGTTTTTGAGGCAGTGAGGGACAGAGTATTTCTCTGTATTGTAAAAAGGACATATTGACAGATGCAAGTAGAGAAAGCAAGTAGAGAAACCTTAAATTTGTCTCATAGGATTCATGTCTCACTGAAGTGAGAGCCTGTTCACTCACAGAATAGAATCTCAGCTGCTGCATAGTAGGGCTCTAGGGGAAAACGTCAATCTGGTCATCACAGCCCGTAGTTTACTGTCATTTCAAATAGGCTTTATTGATCTCTTGGCAATACCTGGTTTCATGATGTGGGCTCAATATCAACTCAGGGAAGTGGCCTGTGAATACAGATGTGAATGAGATAGAGAAAGCTGTCATCTCAGTTCCACCTACCTACTTTAGTAATGAGACACTGTATTAGGGCTCTCAGGTGATCTTTTTAATGGTTTGGCATTAGCTGAATAAATTCTTCAAATTTAATTTTCTTTTAAACTTATACAGGTATTCATGAAGATTACCAGCTGCCTTATTATGATCTTGTACCTTCTGACCCATCAGTTGAAGAAATGAGAAAAGTCGTTTGTGAACAGAAGTTAAGGCCAAATATCCCAAACAGATGGCAGAGCTGTGAAGTGAGTATTTCTTTTTGATACTCGGCAATTTTCTAAACTGCTTCTGCTGAGTAAGTGAAAATTTGCTACTTTTCTTTAAGGAGAACAGACAAGAATTTTCTTTTTCATAGTAGTCAAACCAATGTGTAAAAACAGAATAATTTCTTTTCATATTCAATTGTAAGCACAGTGAAAGGGCCATGGAACATTTGCAGTGGCCTTTACATATCAGAACATAGTTTAGATCTGCCAGGCAAACTTAAGGCACATACTTTTTAAATGAATGCCTCCCTTCAGCCAGGACAACCCAGAATAGTGGACAGTTACTGGACAGGAATAAGGAGACATGTCTTCTAGACCAGCCTGGCTACCATTTTAAGGATCTGACTTTGAACAAATCACTTCAGTTCTCTGGACCTTAATATCCCTTTGTAAGGTGAGGAACTCAGATAAGGTGATTACAAAGGTGTTTCAAATGATTTTCCATTTGATTCATCTGATTGCCTAGGTGGCCATTAACCAGGAATTTGTGGAAAATGCTTTTTTCCAGCAGTGTCTGAGCTTCTCAACACCTCTAACAAAAAGTTTTAGAAATGTTTTTGTAATTGCAAATTTAAGGATTTGTAAGACAAATTTTCTTTTAACCTCTCTCTCCTTAATTGCTAGCTGTTACTATTATAATATTAGTAAAGCAGGGAATATTCCTCCAGGTTTGAAGTTTTATAGCTTAAAAGGCTATAAAAAGCTGTTCATTTTAGTAGTTGATTTTACATCTTAAACTATTGTAGGACTCAGCAGAACCTCTGATAACCAAGAGAGCTTGCTACCTCCAACAAAGTCACATCTCCAGGCCCAGATAAAATGTATTTCAGTATGCTCAGAGGATTTGCATGTGACATAAGAGTGCTGCTAGATTTTGTCTTTTAAAAATTTTATCTACTCGGGAAGCTGAGGTGGGAGGATTGCCTGAGCCTGGGAGGTCAAGGCTGCAGTGAGCTGAGAGCATGCCATTACATTCCACTCTGGGCGATGGAGTGAGACCCTGTCTCAAAAAGAAAAATTTGATCTGGATGCTTCAAAGTACAAACTTAAAATTTTAATGTGAGGTCAGGTTTCTTCTTTGCTTTGCCCAGCTCTGGTTTAGGATTTGGCCTTTTAAGGTTTGCTAAGTGAGTCACTCTGTCCACCTGCTTTCCAGCACTGACACCAATACTCTGTTGATGGAAATTTATGTAATTTCTACTCATTTGCTATTACAAATAATGCTTCCACAACAACAACAACAACAAATGTATATCTGTCATTTAAAAAGAAAATTTACAGGTAAAGATCCTTATCCAGACAAGTGGAAAATGGTACATGCATTAATTATTTTTCTTGTATTTTCTTGTAGGCCTTGAGAGTAATGGCTAAAATCATGAGAGAATGTTGGTATGCCAATGGAGCAGCTAGGCTTACCGCATTGCGGATTAAGAAAACATTATCACAACTCAGTCAACAGGAAGGCATCAAAATGTAATTCTGCAGCTTTGCCTGAACTCCACTTTTTTCTTCAGATCTGCTCCTGGGTTTTAATTCAGGAGGTCAGTTGTTCTGCCTCGCTGAGAGAGAACAGGAGGACGTTGCTTCCTTGTGCGGCAGTGTCATCAAGTCAGTTAAAAACTTCCCAGGATTTCTCTGGACCCAGGAAACAGCCATGTGGGTCCTTTCTGTGCACTATGAACGCTTCTTTGCCAGGACAGTTACAAAATGTTGTGTAGTCTACCTTTATTTTTTATTAACAAAACTTGTTTTTTAAAAAGATGATTGCTGGTCTTAACTTTAGGTAACTCTGCTGTGCTGAAGATCATCTTTAAGGGCAAAGGAGTTGGATTACTGAGTTATAATAAAACATTTCTTATTATTAAAGAAAGTGATTTACTCCTGGTTAGTACATTCTCAGAGGATTCTGAACCACTAGAGTTTCCTTGATTCAGACTTTGAATGTACTGTCCTATAGTTTTTCAGGATCTTAAAACTAACACTTATAAAACTCTTATCTTGAGTCTAAAAATGACCTCATATAGTAGTGAGGAACATAATTTATGCAATTGTATTTTGTATACTATTATTGTTCTTTCACTTATTCAGAATATTACATGCCTTCAAAATGGGATTGTACTATACCAGTAAGTGCCACTTCTGTGTCTTTCTAATGGAAATGAGTAGAATTGCTGAAAGTCTCTATGTTAAAACCTATAGTGTTTGAATTCAAAAAGCTTATTTATGTGGGTAACCCAAACTTTTTCTGTTTTGTTTTTTGGAAAGGTTTTTGTGGTATGTCATTTGGTATTCTATTTTGAAAATGCCTTTCTCCTACCAAAATGTGCTTAAGCCACTAAATAAATGAAGTGGCATTAATTAGTAAATTGTTAGCATGGTCATGTTTGAATATTCTCACATCAAGCTTTTGCGTTTTAGTTGTGTCGTCTCAGTATACTTTTAAAATAACAAGTGGCACTCTAGATGCTTATAGTACTTTAATATTTGTATCATACAGACTAATTTTTCTAAAAGGGAAAGTTTGTCTAGCTGTTTGTGAAAAGTTATGTGGTATTCTGTAAGCCATTTTTTTCTTTATCTGTTCAAAGACAGTGTTATTTTTTTAAGAAAGTAATTACATTTAAAATTAGAATATGGTTAATGTTAAATAATAGGCCTTTTTCCAGGAAGGCAAAGGTAGTTAGTAATTTGAATAGATAACAGATGTGCAAGAGTCACATTGGTTATGTAGGAATGTTTGGTGGATCCTCTGTCTTTGAAACTGAGGTTAGAGCTAGTGTGATTTTGAGGTCTCACTACACTTTGAGGAAGGCAGCTTTTAATTCAGTGTTTCCTTACGTGTGTGTACACTGCAGTTGCTTACTTTACATGTAATTTATGTAATGCATTCAGTGCACCCTTGATATTTGGAAGAGGTGATAGCTAAAGAACATTCTGCGTATAGGTTCTTCTCCATTTATACAGATGTTTTTGTCAAGTTAAATATTGAAAGCAAACTTGTCATGGTCTTCTCACATTAAGTTGAAACTAGCTTGCAATAACTGGTTTTTACTTCCAATGCTATAAAGTCTCTGCAGGGCGTTTGCAGTTTTCAAAGTCCTTTTATCACTGTGATCTTATTCCAAGGGGAGGAAAAACTAGCCTAGCTGTGAGCCAAGACTTTGACTTTATAGTGCTGTCAGTTCCCCGATACAGGGTCAGAATAACCAATACAGTATTTCAGTCAGGAGGAGAAAGTGGCCATTTACGCTGAATGAGTTGCATTCTGATAATGTCTTATCTCTTATACATAGAATAAATTTGAAAGACTATTTGGTCTTAAAACCAAAGTAATTTTAGAATGAGTGACGTACTACATAGGAATTTAGTGTCAATTTTATGTGTTTAAAAACATCATGGGGAAAACGTGCTTAGAGATTACTATTTTGACTACAAAGTTGATTTTTTCTGTAGTTACCATAATTTCATTGAAGCAAATGAATGAGTTTGAGAAGTTTGTTTTTATAGTTGTGTTATATTACTTGTTTAATAATCTCTAATTTTGTGATCAGGTACATTTTTTGTGGGTTTTTTGGGCCATTTCTAAGCCTACCAGATCTGCTTTATGAAATCCAGGGGACCAATGCATTTTATCACTAAAACTATTTTTATATAATTTTAAGAACATACCAAAATTTGTCTGATTTAAAGTTGTAATACATGATTTCTCACTTTCATGTAAGGTAATCCACTTTTGCTGAAGATATTTTTTATTGAATCAAAGATTGAGTTACAACTATACTTTTCTTACCTAAGTGGATAAAATGTACTTTCAGTGAATCAGGGAATTTTTTTAAAGTTGGAGTTTAGTTCTGAATTGACTTTATATATTACTGCAGTTAATTCCTTTTTTAGCTAGGGATGGTTTGATAAACCACAATTGACTAATATTGAAAATGAAAGTAACTTAAAAGATGGGATGGATCATGATTACTGTCAATAACTGCAGATAAATTTGATTAGAGTAATAATTTTGTCATTTAAAAACACAGTTGTTTATACTGCCCACATCCTAGGACGCTCTCCTTCCAGGGTTCAACTTGGCTAAAACACCTTTAGTAAATTGTGTGTCTACATTCATTTTGCCAATAGCCAGGAGGAGTGGGGATGGAGGAAATACCACTTAGTGGGGCATAGACATCCCTGCTTCATCCTTTCTGGCTCCAGCTGTTTCTTGTAACCTGCGTTTTTCCTTGCTGGTCCCTGACGCAGAGACCACTGCCTCCCCCACAGCCTTTTGACTGAAGAGCTGCTTTGGAGATCTAGAGTACAATGGCTGATGGAAGTTGTGGGACATATTTCCTTTTTTTTCTTTCTTTCTTTATTTTTTGTCACTAGAAGTGGCAGGGAGGGGTCTCCACATTTGGAGATTGAGCAGATGAGGCTTGGGATGCCCCTGCTGGTTGCCCTCCTTTGACATTAGCCATGGATGAGGAATGGGATAGCAGCAAGGTGGCTGCTGTGGCAGTGGGAGTTGTGCCAGGAACAGTGGCCAGTTGTATCCCCCGTAAGACACAGGGTAAGGTCCGAAGAGCTGAGCCTGTAATTCTGCTGTAATAATGATAGTGCTCAAGAAGTGCCTTGAGTTGGTGTACAGTGCCATGGCCATCAAGGATCCCAGATTTCAATTCTTATTACAAAACCTAAGTGGTCACTTCACGATTTTGTAGTCCATCCATGGGTTACCTCTTTTCTCTATGTCTGACAACTGTCCGATACAGGCTATTTCATAAAACAAGATGGCAAAGAGATCATTAAGTTGCACGACAAAATCAGTATGCCATTAGTCACATCATCAAAAGCTTATTTTTATTCTTGCACTGGAAGAATCATAAGTCAACTGTTTCTTTTGTTTCTTGACCATGGCAGTGTTCTGGCTCCACATGGTAGTGATTCCAAATAATGGTTCTGTTACAGTTAGGCAGAAAACGTCAACTCAGATATTTCGAGATACTAAGGATTGTCTCTGGACCTGTACTGCAGCTTCTTGTCTCTGTTTTGGATTACTGGAATACCAATGGGCCCTTTCTCTTAAGAATGCTGGACTTCTAGGATATTGTGAGGATTGTCAGTGCATTAAACTTTTCAGTCCCATTATGCAATCTTGTTTGTAAATGTAAACTTTTTAAAATACAGTTGATAACATTCAACCTGTTTCTTACAACTTAAAAGGAACTTCAGTGAATTTGTTTTTATTTTTTAACAAGATTTGTGAATTGAATATCATGAACTGTGTTTTGATATCCCTTTTTCACGTTGTGCCAATGGAATGGGGTGTTTGATATTTCTGTATATGTCAAGGAGATGCTTCAAAATATCAATTGCTTTAAACTTAAATTACCTCTCAAGAGACCAAGGTACATTTACCTCATTGTGTATATAATATTTAGTATTTGTCAGAGCATTCTCCAGGTTTGCCGTTTTATTTCTATGAAGTATGGGTATTATGTTGCTCAGTTACTCTAATGGTACTGTATTGTTTATATTTGTACCCCAGATAACATCATCTGTACTTTCTGTTTTCTGTATTGTATTTGTGCAGAATACTTTTGGCTTTATCAGTGTAATCTCTGCCCTTTAAGATATGTACAGAAAATGTCCATACAAATTTCCATTTAAGTTGAATGATACTGAGAAGCCTGTAAAGAGAAAAAAAACATAAGCTGCGTTTCCCCATAAGTTTTTTAAGTTGTATATTGTATTTGTAGTAATATTCCAAATGAATGTAAATAGGAAATAGAAGAGTGATGCTTATGTTAAGTCCTAACACTGCAGTAGAAGAATGGAAGCAGTGCAAATAAATTACATTTTTCCCAAGTGCCAGTGGCGTATTTTAAAATAACGTGTGTATGCTGGAGTGAGCCGTGCTATATGTAGTTGCTGTAGATAGCAACTAGAACCTTTGAGTTACCTAGCAGAGTCTCTTTTCTAACCCTGCCTAGTGCAAGTTACAATATTATAGCATGTTTGAGGAGTACTCTCCTGTCTGCTGGTGTGGCTCTGTGCCTGGGGGCTTTTCTCTACATGCTTAGGGGTGTGGGTCTTCCCAAGTGGGGCATGGCGGACCTGTCTACAGGTGAACTCTGTTGCCTTTGGCTCAGCACATTTGTCAGTGTCCTGGGGGTGAAAACTTGGCTGATAAAGAGAACTGGGAAAATCATGATAGAGGTGTCCCCAATCCCTTGACTGACTCTGGGGAGGGCTTTGGGAATAGGATTGCTCTCACATTAGAGATAGTTACTTTAATTTGAAGGCTGGATTTAAGGATTTTTTTTTTCTTTATAATAAAGACATCACCAGGATATGGAGCTTTTGTTGAAAGTTGGGAAAAAAAGTGAAATTTGAGACATTCCCAGACAAATACTAAGACAATTTGTTGCCTATGGACATCTGCCTTGCAAGAAATACTAAATCCTTCAGATAGAAAATAAATGACACCAGATGGTAACCTGAATCCACTGGATGAAATAAAGAGCACCAGAAATGGTCGATATATGTGTAAATAGAAAAGACTATGATTGTATTGCTGCCATAACAAATTACTACCACGTACTGGCTTAAAGCAACACCCATTTATTAGCTCAGAGTTTCATAAATCAGAAGTCTAGGC